GATCCACGTTTGGTTGAATGCATAGTGCGGAACCCATGGATGTGGAGGGCCAACTGTATTGGATTTTTTTTTTTTAAAGAAATTTAATTACAATAATAGAGTTGTGCAAAGATCATACAGTATACTCATACAAACCTAGATGGTATGGCCTACTACGCACCTAGGCTATATGGTACAACCTATTGCTCCTCTGTCAGTAATGTGTCATACTACTGCATTACAACGGCTATGATGTCACTAGGCAACAGGAATTTTCCAGCTCCCTTATAATCTTATGGAACCACTCGTCCATTGTTGACACAAACATTGCTATGGTATATGACTGTACTTATATTGAGAATCAGAATTTTCCTGATATTATGTAATCCAAAGAAATATAGGAGCAAACTGGATATTTAGGCTTATAAAATTACACTGTTAATCTATTACCTCCTAATTTCAAATGTACATTTATCAAGGCACCTTAACTGGTTTTGCTAACTGACTGTGAGAAATAAATGTCACCAATTTTAATTTATAAGGTAAGTCTATACAATTGTAGTTCTGTTTTCATCTGCTTTTTATACTACAATTTTAAATAAAATTATTTGAAAAAAAGGGTTTAGGCTGTCATATGTTTGAAAACTGCTAGCCTTTAGGGCAGTTAAATGTAAAAGAGCAACTTGGTTTGAGTTTCAATATTGATTTACATATTTAACTTATTTCTTATATGCAGTAAATATTAGTTATAACATATACAGATTTTTATATATGTTAAGGCTAACAACAAAAGAGAAACACAGATACTCCAAAGACAACCTTCAGAAAATTCAATCACCAGAATCCCCTTCATATTACCATAATCAACCTTTTTGTTAGTGATGTCCCCTTCATGGCAATAAACAACTGTCTGAGTTTTAAACTTACATTTCCTGATAGAAAATAAAAGTCAGTATTTCACATGATGGTTATAACAGGTGGAAGGCTCTTATTAGAAAAAAAATCATTTAGAATATCAGAATACAACATTTAATTTTTTTTTTCCTTTTTGTCTTTTTTACTGACTGGTAACAGGATCGCAACCCTCG